GAAGAAATCTGCTGCACCAAGCAATTGATCGGAGTTCCTACAGATTACTGAAAGTGCAAGATGTTTCCATTTTCACTTTGTGATGAGGCACATGCATGGTTTAAGTCCTTGACTCCTGGGTCACTCGGATCATGGAACGAATGCAAGGCTGCTTTACTTAACCATTTCTACACCACCTCTAGATCAAAATTCTTTAGAGACAAAATTTATAGGTTCCAACAAAAAAGAGGCGAACTTTTTTAAGGAGCTTGGGATCGTTATAAAGGCTACATTAGGGAATGTCCTCACCACGGTTTTACAGAGACATGCGTCTTGAACACCTTTTATGAAGGTCTCGAATGGACATCTAAGACACCTCTAAATGTAGCAAGCAATGGAAACTTCATGACAAGGACTGTCGAAGAAGCTTACGTCTTGATTAATAATCTTGCTGTGAGCAGCAGAAATAATTGTCTGGATCAAAGAAGAACATCACGTTCCACTTCCCATGGTCATAAGGAAATCAAAGAACTTAAAGCCATGGTGAAATTGTTTCTCAAAAATCAGCAGCGTTCTTTTAGTGTCTGTGAAGCAGCTAATAGAGCTGAGATTAATCATCAACTTGTAGCACAAGAGCACACCCATATGAATCTCCAGTCTGGTCCAAAATCATCCCCAACCTCTCAAGACAACAAGCTCGAGCTTATGGTGCAACCACTTCTTATGAAGCTACAAAAATTAGCAGACAATGTGGATATGAAAGTGGACAGCTTATACACTGATCTTAATGGTAAATTTGAAGCTCTTTCCAGTCATGTTGATAGCATGGACGTACAGCTATCACACACCATAGATGGTTCAAAAGGCACCAAAGTTATCGAGAGACGAATTGCTGAGGTGCATGAAAAAATCGTCCAAGACACCCGCAACCTTAAGCTTAAGTTAGACAACATGAATGATTTTCGGTACAAGTTAAAAATCATGTGTGATTACCTCAACAAGAACAATGAGGAGTCATTTGAGAATTTCACTAACCTCTCAACTCATGTCAAGATGCTCGAGAAACAAATCGGACAAATTGGAGAAAGTGTGAAGAGACAAGATGGTCATCTTCCGGAAAAAACTGTAGACAATCCAATGGGGCGTTGCAATGTCATAGACACTGATGGTGAAAAAGAGGTCACGCCTATTCCTCACAATCAGGACACTGAAGTTGAATCTCTAGAATTTCCTGAAGAGTATGATGCAATAGGCAAAGTTCCACACCAAAGGAAGCTTCATAAGATAAATGATTCAATGAAGTTTGTCTTCTCCTGCATAATTGAAGGTGTGGAATTTTTTGACTCCCTATGTGACACAGGAGCAAATGTGAATGTGATGTCTAAACCAATTTCAAACGAACTAGGGGTTTGTGATATCAAACCTCCTCACGGTTCTCTTAAGTTTGGAGATAATTCAAGCACGATTCCATATGGTTTCGTAACGGATTTGATGGTGCAAGTAGAAGGGTGTCTTGTTCCTGTTGACGTTCACAATCTTGAGATGGAAAATAACTCTCCCTGGAAATTAATATTTGGAAGATCATTCCTTGCAACAGCGGGGGTAGTTCTTGATTATCCCACCCGAAGAGTTTGTTTTTCTAAAGTCAAAAAGAGAATCTTCTATCCTGCAGTCAGTAGTGATGAAAGCTCTTACTGTATAACCATCTACAAGGAAGATAAGTTGATTTTAGACCCTGGAGATAACGAGGAAAAGTCCCAACACATTTCTATAGAAGACCCTTTAGTCGAGCCTGTGGGAGTTGCCAAATCGATAAAATCTAAGCACGAAGCGAGAAAATCTAACCGTAAATCAAAGAAATCTAAGCGCAAAACTATCTCAGGTAATGCAAGCTCGACATTGACTTCTCAAAACCTTATTGGAGACATGGAGAAAGATGGTAATGCTAAATTAGTCACCCCAGAGACACGTCCAACCCCACCTCCAAAAGCAAAACCTTCCGAGATTCCTTGGTTTATGCATATCGCGAATTACCTAGCGGCAGAGATCGAACTGCCATGATTCTTTGGCTACAACAAAAAAAAAGTTCTTGTGTGATGTTAGAAGATGCTTTTGGGATGAACCATATCTTTATAAGCAGTGTTCAGATAACTTGTTTCGAAGATGCATCTCCGAAGAAGAAGTTTCAGGCATCCTTTTTCATTGTCATGGATCTAACTATACTGGATACTTTGCTACTGATAAGACTGTAGCGAAGGTTTTACAAGCTGGTTTTTGGTGTCATACCATGTTCAAGGACACCCATAAAGACAGGGAACATCAGCAAATGACATGAGATGCCACAAAACTTCATTCAAGAAGTCAAAATTTTTGATGTTTGGGGAATCAACTTTATGGGTCATTTTCCTTTGTCATTTGGAAACAAGTACATCCTTGTTGCTGTTGACTATGTGTCTAAGTGGGTGGAAGTCATAGCTAGTCCCACAAACGATGCAAAAGTAGTAATGAAGATGTTCAAGTCAATCATATTTCCAATATTTGGTGTTCCGCGAATCTTTATCAGTGATGGTGCATGGTTCTCACTTCATCAACAAAGTATTTGAGAATCTCTTGAAGAAAAATGGAGTGACATGTAAATTAGCTACACCTTATCACGCGCAGACAAGCGGCCAAGTGGACATATCAAACAGAGAACTCAAAAGAATTTTGGAAAAGACAATAGGACCAACAAGAAAAGATTGGTCAGCAAAGCTCGATGATGCTCTTTGGAAATACAGAACTGCATTCAAAACCCCATTAGGTACTACTCATTTTCATCTTGTTTATGGTAAGGCACATGTCATCTTCCATTAGAGTTGAGATAAAGGCAGAATGGGCAATAAGAAAGAATTACGACATCCAAACAGCAGGTGCAAAACGTTTAATTCAGTTAAATGAGTTAGACGAGATTTGCCATAACGCCTATGAGAATTTTAAAATCTATAAGGAGAAGAAGAAGGCGTATCATGACAGAAAAATAGTTCCTAGGACGTTCTCACCTAATGACCAGGTTCTACTTTATAACTCACGTCCAAAGATGTTTCCCGGGAAGCTTAAATCATGATGGTCTGGACCTTTCAAAATCAAAGAAGTTTTACCCTATGGTGCTGTGGTTCTATGGAACCGTCAAGGAGGCCATTTCACTTTCAATGGACAACGTCTTAAGCCATATCTTGCAGACATTAAAGAAGAAAAGGAAGATCCGATCTCCTTAGCAGATGCGCCTCACGCCTAAAAGACGACCAAGTCAAGCTAACGACTTAAAACAAGCGCTTAGTCAAACCACTCGGTATTTTACTTATTTCCCTTTGACCTTTATTTTCTATTTTGTTGCTTTGTTTTTTGTTTTATTTAATTTTAGGTTTTTACAAAGAAGAACGAATAAAAAACGCGCAGAGATCATAAAATCGGAGAAGGAGTCATCACCGCGACCACGTAGAGACCAGCCGCGGGACATTCCCCTTAACCAAGGCCAAGAGGTTTAGACCAGCGGTCATTTCTTTTGCACCTGCGGTACCATTGGTTTTACAAACGACACTCTTCGGCAAGATAAGTACACTTAAAACATTTCAATTTTATATTTCCCTTTACCATCCTTTCTTAGACTTTATCACACTTAGGACAGAGCGAAATAGGTCTAGGGGAGGATGTTCATCTGTTACTAAACAAATTTGATTTGTTTTGGACGTAAAAATTTTTTTCAAAAAGTTTTCAAACGAGGGATGATTTGCACCTGCGGTAACATTGGTTTTCAAAAAGTTTTTGAAATAATACTATGATGATTTAGACCAGTGAGCTTCTATGCTATTCCGTCGTTTATAACTATTTTGTGATTTAAGACTTAACTAGACGGTAGCTAGAATACTTGCACTACAAACTTCCACCAGAAGATTTTTATTCATGGAGATTCTTTCAGAACAGGATATACTAGCTCATCTTATTTGGACTTAACATTGACTTAAATTTCTCATTGAACCATTAGATCAGGGAAACAAATCATACATTCGGGACTCCTTTATCCTTTTACCACTCTTTTTTGATCATGAATGGCTAGTTCATCTTTAGCTAGTTTCCCACCTAACCTAGCCTCTTTCAAACCACATGCATTCTTCTTTTACATTGTCCTATATGCAGATATGTGCAAAAACATCGGAGAGAAAGAGGATCGATGCGGTTTTCAGTAACTGAAGACGGAGACCTGCGATTTCACCGGAATGATTCAACAAAGGAGAACACTTGGTTTCCTTAAAAAAATTGAAAAAATTGGTATATTTTCGTCCCTTAGACTATCTCTCTTAATAAAATGTTGTTTCCCCTTCCGAAACAAAAATAAAAAAAAATCCAAAAAAATTAAAAAAAAAAAGGAAAAGAAAAGAAAAGAAAAAATATGGAGGGAAAAGAAATATAAACCTTATATAGTCTAAGATGATCAAATTTTATCCCCGAGACGAGCCTTGGTTCGATCATATAAACCTTTTTTCTGATTCCGAAAAAGATCTAAGTCTCGGGGAAGTAGCTGTTTACAACCAAGGAGGAAGGACTATACAACAACATCTGGCAAGGAGAAGTGACTGAAAACTGCAGACATCAACTGGTCCACTCTCTCATGCGGTTGTGCATAATATCTTGCATCCTCTAGATCTTTAGGTAACCCGAAATACTTTAACTCCACCACTTAAATAGCCCTTAATACCAAACGCCGTCTACCCTAATTGATGTATTTGATGAGAATTCACTATGCACTTAATGTCTTTGGTGGGAACTCGCAAAAACTCAGAAGACCGTAAATTTGACCACAACCTGCAGACCACATATTGCAACATCAATCCAAATCGAACCGCCATGTACTTCTCCGCAGACATTCGCAGCTTACCAGATTATTTTACTCGTTGGTATGTCGTGCCAACGTTGTTCAAGGCGAAATACATGACTTTGTAGCAATAGATGCCACGGTCGGTGTTGAATGACGTCTTCTCCTGATCTTAAGGATGCATAAGAATCTGGTTATATCCGGAAAACGTATATATGAAGGAGAGGAGTTTGTTCCCGGTGGTTGCTTCAACGAGTCGGTCAATGTGTGGTAAGGGAAAACTATCTTTGGGATATGCTTTGTTGAGGTCAGTGAAGTCCACACAGATTCTCCACTTGCCGTTTTTCTTTTTAACGACTACCGGGTTAGCCAGCCAATCCGGGTATTTGACTTTAGTGATTGATCCAGCTTTGAGTAATCGTTCGACCTCGTCGTTGCCAGCCTGTGCTTTTTCTGGTCCGAGCTTCCGGCGCTTCTGCTTGATAGATTTGTAAGTTGGGTCAATGTTGAGCTCGTGACAGGCGATCTGTGGATCAATTCCAGGCATATCCTCAACTGATTGTGCGAAGGTGGAAGTGTGCTGTTTCAAGAAGTGAACGAGACTTTCACGGATCTTTGGATCGAGCTTGGCGCCGATCTCGACCTGTCGTTCGGTGCGCAAATCGTCAATGTAGACTTGTGTGATGACCTTTTTTTTTTGGTTTTGACTTCTGGATGATGAGGTTGGTTGTGGTACTTTGAGAGCAGATTACGCAAGCATGGTTGCCCGATCGGAGTTTGCATTCGTTGATGTAGCACGACCAAGCTATGGCTTGGATACCTTTTAGGATGTATATGCCGTCGGGGGTCGGAAACTTGAGGTACTGGTGATAGGTTGAGGCGACGGCTTTCATCGCGTGGAGCGAAAGCGTTCCCAAGATAGCATTGTAGATTGCTGGTTTGTCGAGGATGAGGAATTGAATAATCTTTACAACTCTGGAGAGGTAGATTAGGTTTTCACAGTGCCGACTGTCATGAAAAGTTCACCGTCAAACCTGGTGAGTGGTGTGATGAAAGGTTCGATTTTATCAGATGGGATGTCGAGCTGGTCGAGTGCTTCTTTGAATATTATGTTGAACGAGCTGCCGGTATCAATAAGTATTCGGCTAACCTCAACATCGTCCAGAAGGAGTTCGACGACTAGAGCGTCGTTCTGCGGCATGTGTAGTCCGACCGTGTCGGCTTTAGTGAATACTAAGGGCGTTCCTTTCGCGGTAGCGTTCAGAAATTTAGGTGCGGTGGCGGCTTTTTGGCTGTACTCCTTGATTGCCCGAACTGAGTAACTGCAGGCTTTGATGGCTTCCATGATCATGTTAACGCGCTTTCTAGCTTTAGGGGCATGGTTCTCTAGTGCTGGTTCGTCGCGGTTGCACTTTTGTTGCTCGGGTTGGATGGGTGGATTTGGTAACATCGGTGGAGGAGGTGGTAATGCCGGCACGTCCTTTGCTGGGGCTTGGCCATCGAACTGTGTATTATTAGGTCGGGGTGATCTGCTTCTCTGTGCGGTTGAACGACGGAGGTCGTCAAGTGAGATTTTTCCCTTTTCGGTATTGCGCGAGCATGTATTCTCTCAAATGCCTGCAATCTTTGGTGCTGTGTCCTTTACAATTGTGGAATTTGCAGAACAATATCTCGTCTTGGTCCTTGTTACTACGAATCCATTTGTTGTTATATTGCTTGCTCGGCTGTCGGATGGTGTTGGTGTAGAACCTCTTACGGTTCTCGTATCCTCTTTTGTAACCTGATTTGGGTTCGTAAGTGTCAGCTTTAGGTCGTTTAGGATGTTTTGTTGTGTAGCTTTAGTCGTGGGCTGTTTCCTCCTCCTCTTCTGCTATGTAAGTATTAGCTCGATGCAATGCATCCTCAAGAGTTTGGGATGGGTTATGTTTGATCACGCTTGGAAACTCGTTTTTATCCGGGCTCTCTTCTACAGACATAGGAGAGCGGCTTTGTCGCTCATTTTACAATGGGCGACCTCTGTTTTAAAGCGGTGGATAAAGTCGTGCATGCTCTCGTTTTCACCCTGAGCTATTTGCCAAAGTTCAGAGTTTTTGGTATTCTGTCCGATGAAAATAGAGAAGTGTTTGACGAACACCGTGGTTAGCTCCTTGTAATTGTTTATAGAGTTTGCCTCAACTCGGGAGAACCAATCGAGAGCTGTTCCACCGAGGCTTTTAACAAACAGTGGGCATTGGACCGCATCCTTTTCTTCAGCGGACCAGAACTGGTATCGGTTCATGCAGATTCCGAACGAGGTCAGGAATTGATGCGGGTCAGTATTGCCTTCATAAGTCTTGATCTTGAGTTTTTCCAAGTGCCAAACAGGCGTGCTTGCGATGCGTGGGGTGAAAGGCGTCTTCTGTGTCTCTTGGATAACATGATCGATCTCCCGAGCCACGCTCGTTGCTCGATGGATTTTTGACGTAATTTGGCGAAGTTATGCCTTCATTGCCTTGATCTTGGCGTCGCGAGTAGTATCTGTCAGAGCTGGAGGTGGTACGTTTGCTGACCCAAGAGCGGTGGATCGTAATGTCCGAGTAGGCTCGCCTTAAGTGTTGAGGTCGTCGATGATATTGCGTGCTCGCAACAGAGTATGGGTTTGACTGAGTTCGGCGATCTGTGCCGCCATCTGACTGAAACGTTCCTCACTTCTCTTGTTGATGGCCTCGAATTGTGCAGTAAAGGCTTGGAGGAGAAGCTCGGCATCAAGGGCTCCGGTCATGGATTTCGTTGGAGGCGTTTGCCTATTTCCTGTCCCGGCGTTAATGTCAGTGCTGGTACCGTCAGGGGTTCCCCCTGTTTTGTCTGCGGGAGTTCGGTTATCACCGTGCTCCTGTCCAAGGAGACGCTCATCCCCATTTTGGGTATCGACGGGATATGTCATTGTCGATCTAACTTTTCTTTACTCCGATCTAAAATTGTGTTTTTCTGTTAAGGCCCCTACCTTGCGCCAGTTGTTGATATATGATATCACACAAAGGGGCAAAACAGTAATTAAGATCAGAAATTTGGTTTTTATTAATGTCAGATATAACTGAGTTTGTTTACGAGAATGATAAACGAACTAAGACTTAGGAAACTAAGAAGCTAGCAATATCCTGAGTTCTCGGTCGCTAAGTCTCTTGGGATTTTCTTGTGTCTTTTGGTGTCGATTCTTCTTCCTTTATATATGTGTCTTAAGTCGGCGTATATCGAGGTTTCTCCTCGATATGGGACCGAGAGAACTTTCCTTTTCTCTCGAGAATTTCCAATTTCGTTCAGAAACTTTCCTTTTTCGGCCGAACTTAGGAAATTTCCTGATTCTTTTGAGAAATCTCCAACGACTCACATTCGTGGGCCAAGTTCGGCTCAGGAGTTTGTTTGGCCCAGTTTTTGCGGTACAATTCCTTCGTTAACCGGTCTTAATTCGTGCTGACCTCGGTTTGTATCGGAGAAAACCAGGGGTTCGGTTTTCACCTCCAACAGCAGTGGTACTAGCAGACTTAATATGATAGATATCCTGTCATTAGGACAGACTTATTATCCATTTAGGGTAGACTTACTGTGATTTAATGTACACTTACTATCCTTTAGGATAGACTTGCTGTTCAATATGCAGACTTATCGTCATTTACGGCATACTTACTGTCCACTAGGGTAGAGTGACTCTCCAATATGGTAGACTAACTATCATTTACTATCCATTACTGTACACTTAGTTTTCTTTATGGTTGACTTAGTATCCATTAGGGTAGACTTAGTATCGATTTTTAGTTATGGGTGACTTATGTAGTAGTTACAGCACATATATTACTTTCTGGCAAAGTAGACATGTGTATCCTGAATTGGCAGACTTTCATTTCATTTAAATAGATTCCCTTGATAATTTTGTGAGATTTATTATCTGAATTTTCTTGTTTTTGAAAATTATGGATGGTTATGCAGAAACAGACATAAAATGGTGTGACTATGCAATATGCAGTGTGTTGTGAGAACTGCAAAATCTGTTGCGATAAAGTTGTCCCTACATGAGACAGATGAACTGATCGATATCCGAGGAAGTGGCCAAAGCTGATGCAAAAATGACAAAACCTAATTCAGGTTATACTTTTCAAAATCCTAAGACCGGGAAAAATGCAAGAAAATGGTCATGGCTTTGGATGCACTTGTAGGTGCCCTAGCTGCTGACACACCCCTGGTGAAGTGAAAAAAAAAAAAAAAAACCGGAGGCCCCTACCCAATCATCTCATTTTTTGGAAATTCAGCAGTGAATCACTTAAAAGATGGTGTAATTCAATCTCTTAGAGTATATGACCTGTTTCATATATGTAGATCTATATAAAATGAGACAATTGATAGATAGAATTCAAGAAGAAGAGTAAGTCAGTTTATTCCCTTATATTTACGTTTCAATATTGACTTCAGTTCATTCTACTAATGCCTTTTTAATTTTTGCCCAATTCTAAGGTAGAAATCTTATTGGATCTTTCGTAACAGGGTAAACCTTCTACAAAACATTGATGACTTCAAAGGAGCAGTGGCCAAAGAATGATTTGAAGTATGGATGGCTGGTTGAATGCGTAAGCCTTAAACTCATCTTGAATTTTATTTTCTAGTAGATAAAATAGTAGATGTATTATATATGCTTATTGTGAGGCTTTTAGGTTGACTTATCGTATTTTGTGGTAAATTTACTGTGTTTCTTGGTAGACGTATTATGAGGCTTACGTCGTAGACTTATTTGGCTACGGGTAGACCTATTGTGTTACTTGGTCGGACTTATTAAGTTACGTGGTAAACGTATTGTAAGGCTTTGGGTTGACTTCTTATGTTAGGTATACCTATTGTACAGTATGATGTGTTGATGGTAGACATATTTTATAACTTATTCTACCATGTATGATTTGGTAGACATATTTTTATGGATTCATTTTAAAACTGATTTACTTATTTTCCAGCACATGTCATCTTTTGCAAGTTTGCTGAGGAAAAGATCTCTGCGGGACCTACCTTTCTTTAGTAGTATGATTGCTTTCCTCGACCAATGCTGAGTTAGTTCTTGGTATCACGAATACAAGCAATTTGCCATCAATCCGAAGAACTCTATGTTCCACTTATCATATGTTGAGGTGATGAACGGCGCATACCCGTATTATGCAGTTACAAACAAAAGATGGCTGCATGACATTGATCATCTATACTTGTGCACTACATTAACGCTTGGCATTGGATAGCTCTTCATGTTAACATGGTCAGCCAACACATTGATATTTGTGCTTGCATCATAAGCACATATGTGACAAGTATATAATTGACAAGGTGAGGCCGTATGCAAAGATGATTCCGTATATGCTTAGATATGTTGCTTAGATATGTTGCTTAGATATGTTGCTCCTCCTGCAACCAAAAAGGACATCCTTCTGAAGCAGTACACAATTTATAAGGAGATCCAATGTTCCACAGAATATATAGAGCGGTGATTACAGTGTGTATACATGTAAGTTTATTAAGTGTCTTGATATAGGGTATTCGTTTGAAAGGCTAAGCAAAGAGCATATGAGAATGAAGCTTGCATTAAAGATTTTCGACAAGGTCCCCGAGACTTACTCGAGGTAACCAGTCTGACCGTTTGTTGCTATACAATGACTCACAGCCATAGAGAACTCTGTGCTGGCTGGCTTTTGCCTAACTAGTATTTTTTGTTGAAAGATCAAAGTAAGGATTATTGCCAACCAATATTCTTTTGGTGCAAACTTATGATTGTCTGTACTTCTAGTCCTATTTTTTTTGTAAAGGCCTAACTGCCAAAACCATTGATCTCTATAATACATGGATGACATTTTTCTGTTTTGTAGTCTTATTACCTTTTCTCAGGGTTTGTAAACTAAATTTTTTCAAAATATTTTCTTATTTAAACGCAGACTTATCATGATACATAAGAGCAGACTTATTATAATTCATAAGCGCAGACTTATTATGATTTGTAAGTGAAGAATTATTGAGAAACTTATACGTAGGCTTAGTTTATATACTTATTCTGTGAACCTATTCAGCTACCAAAGAAGATTTATGCGCAGTCATAAACTTAATATAGACTTTTGCGCAGACTTATATTGGTTACGGATCTTGAAATGCTGCACAATGGATGATGCCTCTCAGTAGAAAATCATGTAATAAAATGCTTCTCCGGGTTAGCTTATAATTTGGAGGTAAATCAATTTTTAGGGTTTCGTTCTTTGTTCTTCAGCTTATGTATTCCGATCCGACGAAATTGAAGACAACTTCGAGCTGCCAATGAAATATAAACTTTCCAGTTAGTGTGATTGAGTTTCTGTTTAAAGTTGTAGTTGTATTTTGGTTTTAATTCTCTTTTATTTTTTTGTTTGTCCTCGTGATTTGCTTTGGGTGGATGAAATTTTGATATTGTTACAG